AAGTTGTGTATGTAAAATAATCCCCTAGTTTTGAGAACTTAGCCTTTTCAACTCATATCTATAAACTTAAGAAAATATTGTATGTGATTAAGCAAGCACATAGGGCATGATATGATAGGCTTAGTAATTTGCTATTAGAGAAATCATTTGTTAAGGACACCATAGATACCACCCTATTCATTAAAATAATTGGAGATGATATACTCATTGTTTAGATATATATGGATAATATTCTTTTTGGATCTATCGATAATAATTTATGCAAAGAATTTTCTCCCACTATGAGTAGTGAGCCTAAAATGAGTATGATGTGTAAGTTGACAAATTTTCTTGGGTTTAATAAAAAGTAGTGAGAAGATGGAACCTTCTTGAGTCAGACATTAAGAAAATTTTTAAGAAATTTGATATGGAATGTTATAAGAGTATGAATAAACTGTAAGCCCAACAACCAATTAAATAAGGATCTGGATGGTAAATCAGTTAATTCAAATAAATTTAAAGGGATCATAGGTTATTTATTTTACATGATTGTTAGTATGTTTGAAATTATATTTAGCGTCTATTTATTTGCTAAATTTCAGGCTAATCCTAAGGAATCTCATATGATTGCTATTAAGAGAATCGTAAGGTATATCATAGGCACTCAAACCTTTGGTAATTGATATCCTAGGAATAGCTTGACTTTTAACTTAGTAGGATACTCAGATTCAAATTTTATTGGATGTATGATAGATATAAAGAGCATCTCAAGAACATGTCACTTCATATGACAATCTCTAGATTTCTAGTCGAGTAGAAGTAATTTTTTGTAGCCTTATCCACCATAAAAGTTGAATATATAGCTATAAGAAGTTGTACTACCCAAGTCCTTTAGCTGCTGTAACAGCTTCTTGATTTTGGATTGCTAGTAGAAATCTCTATCATGTGTGATAATATTTATCATTATCAAAAAGAAAAAGATTGATGAAATATGGGAGCCCAACCTTATGTTTTGATAATTACAGATATTATTGGATGATAGTTTACTTATTCCTGTTTTATATATTGTATGTTTTTCTTATGTGTCACTAATCATTTTAGGTACAACATACATTGAGCAGAATTGAAGAATTAAGATTCAAGATAATGTAGTGTTAGGGTTTAAAGTTAATTTGTAATCATATAGTTTGTATTTTTTATTTTTCTTGAGTCATTTTATATATTAAATGTATATTGGTTAAGCAAGCAAGCACACACTCATAAGGGATAAAATTTAAATATTTAATTTTTTTTATTATCATACTATATAATCTCATTCATACTATATGATTTGTTAAATCAAAAATTATTTTAAATGTTTAAATAAATTAAATTAATTAAATTAAATTATAGCTAATCATGCTGTACGACCTCCAATCGTACAGTATGACCCTCAATCATATGGTACAATCAGTTATTTTACTTAAACCATACCGCTTAATCGACATTACCAAAAATTTGGCAAATTTAAATTGATCATAATGTATGAAGGATTTCATATTGTACAATTATTAATAGATGTTGCCTAATTTTGTCCCATAGATTAAAGAATTGAATAGAATTAAATCTTAAATAATGATATTACTATACAATCTAAATCATATAGTCCAATTGACCCGAGAGCTTGGTGGATGAACATAGGTTCATCATGTATGAAGCTTTATTCGATATAACTAATCATATTGTACGACTTTATATCACATGGGATGATCTATGATGAGAATTCAACAAATCATACAGCATGATCCTAATATCATATTGTATGGTCAAAATAATTAAACATAAAATAATTGTTTAAGATATCCTACTTTAATTTTTTAAACAATGGCTTGACCGTCTAAAGTTGAGTATTTTTTTTGGTCAACAATGGCTTAAGGGTCAAAATTTTAAAATGTATTTTTTTGGTCAACTATTTTAGAATAATATTTATATCGACTGAGATAATATATTTTTCTCTATATATTATACAATCACTGGAATAATTTTTGTTTAATAAATATTTTGATGTTTAAGCATAAAATAAAAAGAGGCCATGAGGAAGATTTATTTTAGAGATATTTGGAATTTATTATCAAAATATTTTATATTTATTTTACTCCAAATTTTTTTTTTTTTTTACTGCAAATCAACAGTTAAAATTCAAAATCCATATATTCTTTTACTTTACACGCCTAAAATAACCCACTTCTTAATCTATTAACCTACATGTATAACACGTAAAGATAATACGTGTACACTTTTATATTTAAAGTTTTTTACATTTAATAATAATTATTTATAAATAATTTTTTAACATTTTTATATAAATTTATAGATAATAATTTTAATTAATAAATTTACTTAATTAATAATTTTAATTTTAATTTTAAAGACCTTTAATAATTTTACTTCATATCACCTCTTTTCTGTTTTTATATTGATAATAATTGTAATTAATAGTTATAAAACAAAATAATTTATCTTACTCGTTTCAACTCAAAATTGATAAGAAAGTTGTTCCAAAGAAAGTCTTAATAAGTAAGCTCCAGATCATCCCCACTCCTTGTTCAATGGCATGGCCTAGACTTATTTATGAGGGAAAATATCATTTTATCTGCTAGGATAAATATGGTTCTTTTTTTAATTTTATTTACTAGGATAAATATGCTGTTCTTCCATTCGTCCTCCAATTCTTAAATAATATAAAATTCTCAATTAGAAATTTTAATAGTGCGCCAACAATAACCTAATTATTCATAATTAATAATATATGCCACATAATGCTAACTAAATAACACTCTAATGATTTTTTTCATCTGTGCTAAAAGCCGAGTAAAAAGTAATCACAAAGATAGCTTTACTCATGCATAGCCTTATTCATTACATAATAATAATAATAATAACAACAACAACAATTACATCAAATTTTTATCTCACTAAATAAAATCTGCTGCATAAATCATTTAAATCATTTTTCTCCATTACGTTCTATTAAGGATAAAACTTTACTTTCTAACAAAGTTTTTTTAAGGCTTCATTTGATATGACTTTTTTTTTACTTCCTTTTAACAAAAATATTTTATGCTAAAAGTTGTTGTAAAAAAAATGTTTTAAAAAGCATTAAAAAAGCCCCCACATCCAAAGCCTAAGCGTATAGATCAAATCTAACGCATCTACTCTCCTAATAACCAAATTCTTAGAAAGCTAACATTTTATATGATTAGACAATCTAAGGCTTTATTTGAAATAACTTTAATAATGCTTTGTAAAATAGCTTTTTATAAAATTGATTTAAGCAGTAAAAATATCATCCTAAACAATGTCTAAAATAACTCTCTATAATCGCATCTGCCGCTAGAGCAACTCCAACATTTTCACGTACATACTCATTTCTCATTTTACCTCAAGTATAAAAAACGAGCATCCTATCTCTATCACTTAATCTTACAGTTCTCTTTTTAATGATTAACATTCTTCATCAAAAGACATTATATGGCTCACCATCTTACATAAGTTATTATATTATAATTATGTTAATTTTAAATGACTTCAAATTTTAGTAAATTTGCATCAATACTATAAATTAGCATTATTATCAATGCTACAAATTAGCATGATTAATAATTAATTTATTTTTTAATCAAAAGTGAAATAAACAATTTTTACAATTTTATTACTTCACATGCGACAGCTTTTTTATTGCTTCTTAAAACAACTTTTTAGTAAAAAAATTTCATTTTTTATTAGAAAACTGCTTTAAGAAACGGTTAAAAAACTATCACAAGCGAAACCTAAGCATGAGGCTTAGGCTTCGTTTGGGACGGCTTTCTTTTTTGATTCTTAAAGCAGCTTCCTAATACAAAAATTGATTTTTTAGACTTAAAAGCTGCTTTAAGAAGCAATAAAAAAGCCGTCCCAAACAAAACCTTAATGAAAATCCATATAAGCATGAGATTCAAATATATTAATCCAATAGTAAGTAATAAAGAAATACCAGACCCATATTTCATTAAAATAATGTTAAGAACTTAAATATTATAAGATTTAATCATTTCATCACACATTGCATATCAAATATTCTCATTTTTTAAAATGTATTTCTAACTTAAAATCACATAATATTATGCCAATCAATATAATAAAATTAACATGCCAATTTTTTAAGCCCATCCATAGACAATGAGATATTATGATATAACATCTTCTCTATTCATTAAGAAATTTTTTATCTTAAATTTTCAATAATAATTTTTAAATTTCTTTCAACTAAATTAACAGACAACCACTCTTTTGCCCACTACTCATGCTCCCATTTTAAAGAATAAAAGGAATCAAATGATCAGCTTTTCAAATACCACAGTGCAATATGAAAGTGCTGGTGTGCAGACTGAACCAGCAGTGGCTCCACTAAGGCACTAATGGAGTCTACCACATAAGCGGCCTGTGCGCCATGATCAGAAAAAAGAAAGAAGCCTAGCTTCTCTTAACCTTTTTTAGAAATTAGCTTACCTTTACTTAGGCTTCATTTGGGACAGCTTTTTTAATGCTTCTTAAAACAGTTTTACTATAACAACAACAACATCAAGCCTTTATCCCACTACGTGGAGTCGGCTACATGAATCCTTTTTCTCCATTGTGTCCTATTAAAAGTCAAATTCTCGTTTAAATCTAATAAAGAAAGGTCATTCCTAATATTTTCTAATCAAGTCTTTTAGATCTGCCTCTACCTTTCTTAATATAAGTCAAATCTAATATCTCTACTCTCCTAACCGGGTCATCGGAAGGACAGTTTTATCTGACCAAACTATCTCAGGCGACTCTCTCTAATCTTATCTTCTACTAGAGCTACTCCAACCTTTTCACGTATATGCTCATTTCGTATCCTATCTCTAAGGGTAAATTAAAATTTTTGTAGTAAAAAGCTTCTTTAAGAAGCAGTAAGAAAGCCGTCCCAAACGAAACCTTAGACGAATAAGAAAAGCAAACCAAACAGATGTCCAATAGATCAAAAAAACAAACTTCCAAACAAGCTATTAAAAAGGAAATTTTTTTGATAATTTGTTTTCCTCCAGAGGGGAGGAGTGGCCATCTCTGGATTTGGTAAAATAGAGAGCCTTAGGCACAATCACTTCAAAATCTTAACACATAATAGAGAAAACAGGGTACCTGAGATTTGAATAAGAGACAGGCTGCAAATCAATTTAGCTAACCCATGGCATACTTCTGAGTCCAGCTCCTTGCAGTGGTCTCATACTTGTTCCTATCCGTCTTGTACATGTGCGCGATCTCTGGAACCAATGGATCATCTGGGTTTGGATCCGTCAATAACGAACATATTGAAAGCAGGACCTGGCCACATTCAAGTTCAAATCAGTTGGATATGCAAAAAAGGCATTTCAAGACAGATTATGCAATGGCTGAGAGCACTACTATTTCTATCTAACATATATTTCTGGCTTTAATCTTAATTTCACCAAGAATCTTCATCTTATTCACAAATCAACTGAGAGCGACAGGAGCGCAGTTAGCCAAGAGCAAGCAGAGGTGCAATCGAGAGTCTATTTGTTTTTGTATGTTTAGTTATTTTTGGTTGGAGTGGGAGAGCATAGGTTTTCAAATTTTTATTTTGTATATTAATTATCATCAATAATTAGAATAATACATACTCAATTCATTTAACATGTTCATGAAAGAGATTAAAAGATCACTTGCCTTTAACACGTGAATGTTCGAGCATGTGGGAAAATGTCAGATGAGGTCAAAAAAATACATTGAATGTTTAAAGTGTGGCATCGCGAAAAAAATAGCTGAAAAAAATGAAAAAAAAAAAAAAAACATTGGAAATAGTTCTTATTTTGGTTCTCAATCAATATAATTCTAGCACTGGGAAATCATTTTTGATCTTATGACAAAGGAATTTGAGGACCAATGCATAAATTTATTATGAATGTAAATGAAGATGAGAATAGCTCTCAAGTAATTCCCCGTGCAGCTTCTACAAAGAAACATAGAAATAGAGTATATTTAAATATTACAAGATGCTTTTATGTTTCGCTCAATTGGAGATTATGGTCAAGAGAAAAATCTTCCTAACATGTATGAGCTTCGAAATGTTAAATGAGGACGTCACAAAAATAACAAAAATGGTTGATGAAATGAAGAAGACATGAATTGAAACAGGAAATATGAAAATGCCAGATGGTTGGTTGAATATTAAACCAAAAAGCATTATAGTCTACCTTATTAAAACCTCATATGGGACTATATTTTTAAAATCTATTGATACACTAGCCTTTATGAAAGATGCACAACTACTATTTAAAATACTTCATGAGGTTGTTGAGAAGGAAAAAGCATATTCATTCAATAGATATAAAAAATGCAAGTACCCATATGGTTATAGAAAGGCTATTAATGGAGAAGATGTGGCATCTTTACGGGACTTCATATACTGCTCATTATTTTGATTTAATACTTGAGAAATTGAGATAGTTTACACAACATTAATATGTTTTTCTCAAAATAAAAAATAGTAAGTTTATTTACAAGCATTTCTCGAGTCGAGCTCGATGAGAAATTAACAGATAAAGAAATCATCAAGCCACCAATTTCAAGATTTGTCACAGCTTATTAGACTTGAAACAAATTAATAGTTCGTCAAGGGCAATTCTAGTTAGGTGGTTGTAAAGTTGGTAAGAGAAAAAAATTTTTGAAAAGTTTTACAAGTATTAAAAATATTTTTTGAAAAAAAAAATCAAAGTGTAGATTAATTACGGCTACTACACATACAAATCAAGTTGTAAAAAGTAACTTTTCTCAACAAAAATTTTTTAAAAGAGATAAAAATATAGTAGTAGCAAAAAGAACGTGTAAATGTGGCCTAAAAAGCAAAAATAGTAAGAAAGCCACCCAAACATACCCTTAAGAGTCAAAGCAATTTTTAGAGGACATACTTGGTTCTGAAGAATGGGACAACAATTTCTGGGCAAAAAAAATATGAAGGATAGCGAGTGAAGAAAATCATAATAAAAGATTATTCTTTTTGACTTGATGTTAATTATGCTTTGAAAATCATGGGACTTCTAGTAAAGATATTTCTCAAAATCAATTTGGATTCAAGCTGGTAGGTCTACTATGGAAGTCATACATTAATTGAGAGGTTTGATGGAGAAGTATAGAGAGAAAAAGGAATATCTTCATATGATATTTATTGATTTAGAGAAAGCATATGATAAAGTTCCAAGAGAATTTCTATGAAGAGTTCTAAAAAAGAAAGGGATTAATAATGCTTATATTCAAGTCATTAGAGATATGTATGCTAGAGCTGGTCTTGTGTTCAAACACAAGGTAGTTTGAACAAGTATTTTCCAATTTCAATTGGATTTAATCAAGGATCAGCCTTAAGCCCATATCTTTTTGCTTTAGTCATGGATATTCTTACTAGAGATTTGCATGAGGATGTTCCCTGGTGTATGCTTTTTGTTGACGATATTCTTCTTGTTGATAAGACTAAAGGGAGTTGAAGATAAACTTGAATTATAGAGGTCAACCTTAGAGTCTTAAAGGTTTTCGTTTGAGTAGATCTAAAACCGAATGCATGGAATGTATTTTAGTAGTAATAGATCTAGTGGGGGGTTTGTGACTTTGAGCGAACAAGTCATTAATAAGATTAGAGAGAGTCTCCTTAGATGGTTTGGCCACATAAAACGGCGGCCTTCCGATGACCTAGTTATGAGAGTAAATGTATTAGATTTAACCTATGTTAAAAAAGGCAGAGGTAGACCTAAAAAGACTTGGTTAGAAAATATTAGAAATGACATTTCTTTATTAGATCTAAATGTGATTTTGACTTTTAACCGGACACAATGGAGAAAAAAGATTCACGTACCCGACCCCACGTAGTGAGATAAAGGCTTGATGTTGTTGTTAATTATGCTTTGAAGATCATGGGACTTCTAATAAAGATATTAAGGATGGATAATGGTGAGGAGACTTCAGCTATAGGATTCATTTATAAAGATATGCACAAGGTAAAAGAAAGAAAAATAAAAGATCTGGTGGGAGATTGAGGTAAGGATAAAGTGAGATGGTGTATTCACTACTGCCATAGAACCTAGAATTAATTTTTGAAATCTCCTTCAAAATGGCACAAGTGACGACGACAAAAAGCGTGGAATGAACTGAATGAAATTAAGGATGTGATGTTTGGAATGGGAAGGGTGTCGAGACAACCACATAATATACCAGAGACAACTAAAAGAAATCTTCATGAACCAACCATAGAAATGTCAACTCCTACAATAAAATGACATGACCGATTATGTTACTATTAAAGCTACATGCGAAATCCAACTAGCACTACTAGATCATGCAAATTGAGATGGCATTCAAGGGAATTGACTGCTCGGATGAATGATAACTTCCTTGACAGCATAGGTCGTATAAGAAGATGAGCACTAGCCAACTACTAAAAGATGTACACATCTTGGAAATTGTCCAAATCTTACATCTCCTAGGAAAAATTCATGAATACTTTTCAACTGAAGTACATATCCATGATGGTGCTATATCATATATGATTAGAGTTTGGCCTTCTCACCCAATGTGACATGACAATGGACATATGAGTTCAAGTTCACAACAAAGGCGCATTCCGTATCACTAGTAGTTCTTGACAAAAAGAAACAAGTGGTTCTTGACAAAAAGAATAGAGGTGCTTCCTCTTCCAAAAATAATTAAGAGGTTTTGTTCTACAACTATTGGCAACCCTATAATTAATGTGCTCTAAGGTTGTATAAATAATCTCTTTAATTGAGAACGAGCTAAAGGGAAATCACGCATAGAAGGATTCAAGAAAATTGAGATATACAATGAGAAAAGGATCTTCATCAAAGAAGAATGTTATTTCTACCTCAATCTGCTCCAAGTGCAGAAAGCAGATTGTTGGACCATACTTCGAGGAAACAATGTTTCGTCATAAGGAGTGTAAGCATTTTACAAATGAATGTTCTCTAAATAGCTTGATAGGATCAAATCCAACTTAAGCCAATGGCGGGAAGCAAGATGGGGTGTATTAACTCAACGAGATAGAGAACCCAAATTAACTCAAAAAGAGCAGTCAATCAAATCTAGAGTCTTCACATTGCTCACTAGGAGTCCAAGTGAGAACTTGACCTTCAAAAAAGTCTGATGCATGTCCACTATAAACTTGTGCTTATTTTGCTTGATTCAAGAGTATGATATTCATTTATAGTTGAAATGACTGTTCAAGAGTTGGGTGGAATCTCACACATATGAGCACTAAAAGATAATGCCCATATGTTGACTAGAAATAATATGGAAATTGTGTATTGTGTGCAAGAACATTGTGTTATCAACATTTAGCATATATTTAATCTTTGTTTTCCCCATCATTGAATTTAGGGTAACACTTGGAAATAATTGGTTATCCTAACATCTTGCCCATAAAAATTGATGAGAAAAAAAAATTAGGTTTAAGATCCTAATTAACTAAGTCTCACAACCTGTGGTGACAGCCAAGCACTATCACCATTACTGTTTTGTGTTAAAGCATGCAGTTTGATAACTAAAGAATGTCAAGCATGTTAGTCCATGTTGAAGGCCTGGAGGGCAATGTAGTCCGATAAGATGACATGATCAAGTATTCAAGTCACGGCACAGAGTTGGCAGATGTGATATTTGCTCTCAAGATTTGGAAGAACTATTAAGGATTTTACGACGAGGCCTTTACCAACCACCAAATTTTAAGTATCAATGACATTGAGGAACACAAAATGTTGCCTACAATATGGATCAGGTTGCTCAAGGACTACAACTTGCAATTCAATACCATATTGAGAAGACCAATGTAGTCGCTGATGTGTTTAAGTCGAAAGGTTGTTCTCAACACCATCAAAGCTAATTAGAGTAAAGTTCTAGGTAGAATAGATTGATCAACTTATCAAAGTTCTAAGACGACGACAACAACAATAACAAGCATTTATCCCACTATGTAGGGTCGACTACATAAATCATTTTTCTTCATTGTGACCTATTAAGAGTCAAATTCTTATTTAAATGTAATAAAACAGGTCATTTCTAATACTTTCTAACTAAGCCTTTTTAGGTCTGTCTCTATCGTTCTTAATATAGATCAAATCTAATACATAAATTTTCCTAACCCTGTCATGGGAGGCTGATGTGTTTATGTGACCAAGCCATCTAAGACGACTCTCTCTAATCTTATTTGCCACTAGAGCAACTACAACCCTTTAACGTATATACTCATTTCACATTGTCTCTAAGTGTAAATCCACTCATCCACCTGAGCATCCTCATCTCTGCAACCC